GTTCGCAACCCGCACCCGGCCACTGCGTGCGTGGCTTTGGCCTCTCCGAGCCTCAGTTTCCCCGTATGGAAAAGGAATACACGCGCAGTGTCCGCCCGGCACCCTGAGGGTCAGGCTCCCGGCGGGGCGGGGACCCCCAAGTCGCTCCCAGGTCTGGGCGCGCCGCGCTCGGGGCACCCCCTTCCCTGGTTCCCCGGGGCGCACCTTTACCTGAGTGACAGGCGGGCTCGCCGCGCGCCTGAGGTCAAAGGTCGGCTCCGCGCCCGCGGGGAGACTGAGGCCCGCCCACACCCCGCCCCGGCCGAGGGTCGCTCAGGCCGCGGCGGCTCCGGCGTGCTGGCCCCGCCCCCCAACTTCCGGCTCCGCGGGGCCTTCCGGGTCGCCGGGTCGCCGCGGGTCCGAGCGCGGAGCCGGGTCCCCCGAGGGGCGGGGCGTCCCCGCACATCCGCCCGGCCCCGGCCTTCCCCGCGGCGACGCCGGACCCGCTCGGGAAGCGGTGACCCCGCCGAGGGCCGGCCTGCGCCCCGCCACGCGCTGTAGATCGGGTTCCGCGGGTCCTGCCCAAGCCCCGGGTGCTCCCGGGAGACCCTCTGTCCCTGCGCCCGGCCTGGGCGCGGTGCGGACGCGGGAGAGCGCAGGGCCACCGGGAGGTCCACGCTAGGTCAGCACTTGGTGCACGCACCGGGTCGCAGCCAGGTGCCGCCCGGGCCCGGGTGCTGGGGTAGGACCCCGCCTGACCTCCTGACCCCGCCTGCCCTGGGTGCTGTGTCACCCAGACGCCCCCACCCCCAGGGCCGCTTCCTTGCCCTGCCCCTCCGTCCCCAGACTCAGGAAGCATCGAAGTCCTAACGCCAGGGCCCCCCCTCGGGATCGGATACCCCCACTCGCTCCCGACTAGGGGCTTCCGCTGGAGCCTGGGGGACCAAGAGTGACAGGGGACAGGGACAGGGGCCCCATCCCCGCTGCAGCGCCCTCCGGGGGCACGTTTGAGAACCGCGGGCTCCTCCGGGAGAGGTTCCGAGGGGTTCCGCAGCAGGGAGAATGCTAACCGCGAACGCAGGTGGAAAGCGGGGCCCGCTGCAGAAGGGGAAACCTTCAGCCCCTCGGCACCTGGCACTTTCATTCTGACACGAGCAAAGCCATGACGCGATGGCACACGCGGCAGCCCAGAGACTAGCGCGTGCATCGCGCTCTCCCGGTGGGGCCTCCTGCAAGACGGGTCCTGCAAACAAGGGACAGAGCGGGGCCTCCACCACGGGTGGCACCTGCAGGGGCCTGCACACAGCTAAGGCTTCCAGGATGCTTATGCTGACCCGGGGGAAGCTATTCCAGGCCTCAGTGTCCTCGTCTGCGCAATGGCAGTAACAATACAGCCCATCTCATCCAGTTGTTCTGAAGGTTATAGCACTGTGGGAGGCTGAGGCGGGTGGATCGCTCAAGGTCAGGAGTCCGAGACCAGCCTGAGCAAGAGCAAGACCCCGTCTCTACTAAAATAGAAAGAAATTAGCCGGACAACTAAAAATACATAGAAAAAATTAGCCGGGCATGGTGGCGCATGCCTGTAGTCCCAGCTACTCGGGAGGCTGAGGCAGGAGGATCGCTTGAGCCCAGGAGTTTGAGGTTGCTGTGAGCTAGGCTGACGCCACGGCACTCTAGCCCGGGCAACAGAGTGAGACTCTGTCTCAAATAAATAAATAAAAATGAAGGTTAAAGGTCATGCGTAAGAGTCTAGATCATCCTTGTTTACACCGTAGGGTGTGAAGATGAACAGCCCTCCAAAGTCCCGAATGGGAGCCTCGTGTGCCTAGAGGAGCAGGAAATCCAATTCTGCCCCAGCCCTGACGGAGCACCCTCTTCCTGATGGGCCCCACGTCCCCCGGGCTGCTGGGTTGTGTTCTCGGGACCGGCCAGAGCCAGAACTCAGGGAGCCCCCGGAGCCAGCATCCTACCCCCAGCTCCTTCCACAGGCTGAGTGGCTCTTTTAGGATACAGCTACCCCCCAGACCCCGGCTGGACCATCCCGTGTAGATGCCACACCCGTAAACCCTGCAGCCTCTTCACACTAACTGCCCTGTGAGTGAGCTTGCTGTCGCTCTGAAAGCCAAAATTTTAGGGTCAGTGTTCTTTTCTCCCAAATACTATACTTTGTGCCACTATGATCAGTGTTCCGTTTATTTTAAGTTACCTCTGAGGAGGCACCATAGTCTCTGCTCTTTTGTAATGTTTTTGTCTTTGTTTTTTTTTTC